CGCGTCGGAGAAGGACTCCCCCTTGAAGGGCATCACCACCCGCCGCTCGCGCCAGCGCAGGCTGTCCTGCGGGGAGAAGGTCGTGAGGATTGTGCACAGGGCGACCGGCGCGAGGGCCGCCAGCGCGAGGGTTCTGCCCTCGCGGTAGGAGTAGTCCCCGGAGAGAACCAGCCGGCGGTGGCGCGGCCGCGAGGCCTTTCGCCGTCGCCGCGCGCTGCGCGAACGTGAGGACGCGGTCGAGGAGGCCAACGTCGTGGAGGTCGACGGGCTGGGCGGGGAGAAAGACGAAGAAGAAGAAGAAGCAGAACGCGGAGCTGTGTTGGGGACCGGACAAAGGCCGAGAATACTACTGCCGGGATTGGTGTGCAATGCCCGATCGGCATAGGTCGGGGTTTCACAGGGTTTGAAAGCCGACGACGCGGTGGAAAGCAAACTTTCGGATCGTTCATGAGCGTAGCGGTGAGGACGACGCGTTTTTCGCTCACGTTCGTCTTTTCGCCGCACATGGACTCGACAGGCAGCCCCCAAAGCCGCAATCCCCTCCCCTAACTTAACTGAGGGGGCTGCCGTGGAGAAAAAAGGTGGAATTGCCAGGGCGGAGTGATTCGACGAGAACGACAGCCCGGGATCCATTTCGCTATGGGTGAGCGAAATAAACCGCATTCGCACGTTTTGGCCTTGTTTTTGGACTAAATTGCGCACGTTGAGGGTGTTATTTTGCAGAGCTCGTTGTGGAGCCTGTAGAGGGGATTTTGAGGAGGCCAGGGCGGTATAATGGAGGAGATGAGCGTTCAAAAGATGTCCTGTGTTAGATCTTTCCGAAGACGCTTGCGTTTTACTAAACGAAGAAGACGACGACGACGAAGAACGACTTTTCGCTCGTCCTCGACGAGTACAGCATGGTTTGGTGCTGATATTGGATAAAAAATTAATTTGGATTTGGTTCCGAATGATTCCGGAAGGGACTAAGTGTGCGCGAGATGCCTCTCGAAGAGAGGAGAGGGTTGACGATGACTTGAGCTTCATCCCCCCCCGCGGATCAATATCACGCTTCGATGCTTTGTGAGACTCCTCCACACTTTCTTCCATATAACGGGCAGCATTGGGGGAAAATTTGAATTTGGAATCCTCTGGAGCCTCCACAACAATGCCTTCTTCAAAGTCATTCTCCTCGCGCGGAGCCTTCGCGCGCTCGCCGTGCTTCTCCGTTGGGTTGTGAGTTTTTGCCAAATCCGGATGCGGTTTGATCGCGTTGGTGTTAAATAAAGCAAGATATTGGCTCGTCCGGCAAGCCCCTAAAACAGCCGGGCTCCTACCTGCAGGAACCACTGTTTGTTTTGTCTTTTTCATGGTACTATTTTTATCGAAAATCATAGTATCATTATTTGCGCACTGAGACTGAAATTTCGCGCTGTTGTTGTCCGTAATGAGATTTAAACGGCTGCTGCTAGGCGTTCCAGTGGGAGTCGAGGCTGTAATGTCCGACCTCTCGTTGACGATAACAACCATCTCTGTTGAGCTGCATTGAGGATTAGCTCCCGCCTGGCTTTCTTCCTCACACATATAATAATTCTCGTATTTAAGATGAAAAAACAATAAGAAAAAAGGAGAAGCAAATGGCTTAGTTAATAATAGGAATAATGACGGCGACAATATGCTCAACCCAGCGCATTAAATGAACCTCCTCCACTTCAAGTGGAGATAAGGTAAGATCAAACAATTGGAAAGACTAAGACTAAAGATGCTTGTGAAATGGGATGCGCTTCCTAATGTAGATGTTAAAAATCGTAGAAAGATAAATAAGGTAGAATGAGTACAAAACAAACTCAGATACTAGTAAAATACGGTAGCTAAATGACTTTACATCAAGAAAATTACATAATTTTTATTTAAATATCCTGATTTGATAAAATAAAAAATATAGACTCTTTGACGAGCGTTAGAAATAATGTCAAAGAGGAAACAGATAGGGACAGTAGTAGTGGGAAAAGGTCGGGGATAGACCGATTTTAAGTGTTTGATTTTTCAAAATCGATAAGCCTACCTATGATCAAATATGCACCGTCACTACCTTTTCGTTAAATTCAATGTTACTCTTTAATTTATTAATAAAAATGTAATTGTCCAGCTCGAGTATTTTATGGAAATATAAAAATTTACTTACCTTCAAAATACAAAATAGAATTTAGAGTTTAAATAACTTCCTCTACAAGATTTTAATATATAAATGTACTTTTACTGTTTTCTTGGACAATAATTTAAATATATACCTTCAAAGGATCAGCATCATGCTAAGTGTCGAAAAATTCTTTACAAAAATCGGTTTAAAAGAATTTGCCTTCAAGTTATCACTTGAAGTATATGTGTTTAAGAATGAATGCTTAACATTGAAGTAACAATAGATTCTGAAAAAATATACATATGAAGCAAAAGAATGCTTTTCAATGTAAAGATGGGAAAGCTAGCCCATAGGCTAAGTATGAATTGCGTGATAGCGCAAAAAGAAAACTCCATAATAAGTCGCCTAACTAAGGCTATTCCAAGAAACAAACAATGTTCTTGAATATAAAATCAAATGAAAATAATTAGAAGATACACAATTAAAAAGGAAAAGGATTAATTAAATTTAGAAACGTATGAATGCAACTCAGCGACATATGTTTTTCCTTTATCGATAGCTATAAGGATATACAGTATAAGGAAAGAAAAAATATATATCTCCTTCAATTTGAAAATATATATATATCGAACTTTAAAATAATAAAAAAATGCAGGAATGATAACAATTGAAATAACCTGTTTTAGAATAAAACCAAGTTTAATGGAAGGTTTTTTATTAATATATATATATATATATATACATCTATGCCCCATTCCTACATAAATATAAAGCTTAATCGTATTGTGGGCCCTATATAGCTGAAAATGGTTGCCTGCTAACAAAATAAAATAAGAATAATTTATCTTTTTTTGTTTATTTTTTTTCCACACTACTTCCCCTTACTCTCTCTTAAGATCTACTTTTCACTAAATATCATTGGTGCTGTTTGGGTAAGCCGATAGAAATTGTTTTAACATGCCTTTCATTATGAGCTTCGTATTTTGTAGCGTATAGCATTTATGTGTACCCACCATCATTGCAGTTTAGATATTAAATTTAATCACTAAGAATAACATTAGGGTATGGATTAATGCTTCACATGGTAATGGCACGACAGCTATGAATCACAGTTTAGAATAGCCATCAACAAAATTGTTTTTTTTTGATAAAAGTCTAGAAAATATTCCAGATTTTTTAACTTTGAACTCAAATTATCTACAAAGTGAAAAAAATTATCAAGCGCCAGCAGTTAAATGCGCTTGTATATTGCAATTGGATTAAGCAATTTAAAGTCTTATGAACCTCCGGGATGCGAACTTTCCTCTTTTCTATGTGTGCACAAAGTGTTTCTAGTAACCCTTACCTAGGCATTTGGATGTGCAGTGTAAATAACAGCCACTGGATAATTTATAGTGAACAAGCAGAAATCAATTCGCTCTGAAAACGATTCTATAGATATACATACATACATAAATAGAAAAAGCAAATAAGCTTTCATATTTAGTACCGTTAAATCAGGAATCTGGTATCGAGCCGTTTAATCAGCCCAAAATGAGTGAATTCTAATTATTCAATTCTCCTTCATAGCTTCCTTGCTCGTTTTCATTGACAGAATGATGTGGGGTAAAGGAGGGCTTCGCGAACTCCCAAAAGCGAGGTCGAAAAGAAGTAAGATCTTCCAACAACCAAGGTGTATGCCTAAAAAAAAAGATTCTTCTATTTTTTAAAAAAACATGACGCGAAGACGGGGGTATACGTCCAAAAGTCAAAATTTTCTGAGTTTGTGTCCGACCTACTGTTTGGGGAAATCTCCCATAATTCTTTATCGGAATTAGGGTCCCTATATAAGTCAGAATCTGGTCTGGGTAAGGTAATGGCCGTAATATTATCTGCCGCGTGTCCGATATCCACGTTATCGTTTCTAACCTCGGACGAGGCGAATTCAGTAGTCGGACCCATAGTCTTACCGAGGTTGGTTAAAGGAACGGGAGGAAGCGCATGCGATGCGGAGTGTCCTGGGCCTCGAGCTGGATCGGCGCCGCGGCTCTGCCGCTCCCTCGCATCCCCGACCACCCGCCAGGAGCGCTGAAGTTGGGCGAAGAACCCCACCGCCATGGCGCATCCTGGCGGGATGTAGGGGTAGGGGTCGATCGTATAGAG